TTTGGGGAGGTACCAGAAGGAATCGTCCGATATCTATCGTTTTTATAACAGATCCGAGAACTGACGCAAATATTATTAGGATTTGCAAAGTACGAGCAAAATCGGATTATTGCTTCTATCCTGTGCAAAAGATATTTTTTTGTTTTTATTTCGAAAATTTCGATCTTTTGTGAGGGAGGTACCAAAAGGAGTGGATCGATGTAGTCCATCTTGGCACCAGACCTTGGGTTAATAAAATTTTTGGAATGTGTAAAAGTTGAACACAATCGGACTATTACATCACATTTTATATGAGATGTAATTATTCAAAATTTTGAGCATTTGTGGGGGAGGTACTTGATGGAGTGGACCGATAGTGTCTATTTTCGCACCTGACATAGCACTGACGCAAATATTGGGATTTGCAAAGTTGGAGCAAAATCGGGTTATCGATTCTCTTTTTATGTAAAGAATATAGTTTTTTTTAATTTCGACTTTTTGTGGTGGAGGTAGCCCATCTTCGAACTCGATCTAAGTTTGACAATAATATTACGCTGTACCAAGTTTGGACCAAATCGGATAATCCCTTCGAGAGTTATCGTGCGACCAGACAGACGGACATCGCTAGATCGACTCCAAATGTCCTGAAACGGATTTGGTCCAAAGCGACCTAGGGTCTAAAACCTTTATTTCGACTAGGCACGTTTTGACCGTATCAAATGATCTAGCCATTTGACTGAGGGTATAAAAAATTGCAGCGAAGTGGAAAATGCTACATTTTTTTTAAATAATGGTTTTTATTAGCAAAAATTGGTACTATTATTCCACGATACATATTGAGTATACAAACTTATTTTATTCAGAGACTAACAATAAAATTTGATTTAGAATAGTTCTTTCTTTGACACTTTCCGCAAAAAATTAAGTATAAAGTTAGATTTTGACCTGGATTGGAAAAGTGTTACATGAAAAAGAAATAAAAAGAAACACATAATTTTTCATTTGCAACGCATAGATTTAGAATTTAATTATCTTACTATTGTCGCTAGATATGTAGTTTATTCTGAAATGTATAGTGAAAATTTGCGTTAAATATTTCTTCTTTTGACACCTTTCCTAAATTCTTATAATCTCCTTTTTACTACATCTGAATTTTAATAATTACAAAAGATAAGAAACAATAGATCAATATCACATCCAGCTATGGTGCAGCCGTAACATTTATATTTTGAAGATCCTAACCATGTTTCAAAGCAGTATAGATAACTATCTCTCGGAGTTTCACATAACCGATTATCTAAACTCAGATTGAAAGTATTTTGAGTCCTTTGACACATTTTGCAACCGATATGAATATTACTAGAGCAGAGACATAAAACAGCGGCCGGGGATACGTTTTTAGTATAAATCCAAAAAAAAAAAAAAACGATACTGCCTGTATTATACATGCGATTTTCTTTTCTCAGTGCATATATAAAATGATGATTGAATATTTCTATGAAAGTGTTTTCTTTCCTTTTGAATGTTTCCAAACAAGTTACATTCACTTAAATAAATTATCAATTTTGACTCCTAATTAAATGACCATCCTTTCCCATCTTTGGAATTCTTTTCTCAATAACAGTTGCCTTTTTCCTCTGTTCAAATCGAAATAGTGACTCATCCGAAAATAGTTTAATGACTAGAGTTATTTGTGGAATTTCCGTGGGTCATTATCCTTTCGGTCGTATGAAGTTGGTCATATTTTTTTAGTGGACATGACGTTATTTGAAATTAAACAGACACAAGTATTGTTGTATTAGTATTATTGGAAATGTCGTTACTGCGCAGTTCAAATGGTAGGTGTTAAGTTAGTGACATGTCCGATTGTTTGGTTACTTACACTTTTATACACTAAATTATTGATTTTCAAAATTGATCTGAAATAAGTTTTTTAACATCATTCATAGGTATATAAAAAATGAATGAGAGTTCATAGGAGTGTAATGACCCCTAGTTAAACATCGTGTCAAGATATAGACATGGAGATATTTTTGCTATTATGGCAAAGTGCTTGAGTTGACACCAAAATTTTCTAAATATCTTCTGTTTTTAAAATGTGTTTGTGGAAACGTTTCAATAAAGTCTCTCTCCAGTAACTGTAGAACAGTGTTCAGTTATCATTATACCCTACACCACAAGGTGGTCAGGGTATTATGTCTTTGTGCATCTGTTTGTAACAGGCAGAAGAAAACGAGATAGACCCATAGTTCCTTTTGATGATCTGCATAGAATCACATTCTGAGTCGATTTATGCATGTCCGTCTGTCCGTCCGTCCGTCCGTCTGTCCGTCTGTCCATGTATTTTTGTAAACAAAGTACAGGTCGCATTTATTGCCCGATCCAGATGAAATTTTCCAAAGATCTTTTGTTTGGCCCAAGGACGAACCCTATTGAAATTGGAGATAATCGGTTAAAATTTAGATATAGCTCCCATATATATCTTCGTCCGATTTATCTTTTATTGTTCACCAAACGTGTAATATCAGCCCGAATTGTATGGAATTTTGCATATACACCCAAATTAGGCCTGAAAATATGTGTGCCAAATTTGATCGAAATCGGTTCAGATATAGCTATAGCTCCCATATATATTGTTCATCCGATTTGTTTTTTTTTTTTGTCCTGCGCAGCCGTAATATGCTCTGTGTAACCAAAATATTTGGGGAAATATATCAAATGCAGCTCAGAAATACATTTGCTAAATTTTATCGAGATCGGTTCAGATTTGGATATAGCTCCCATATATAACTTCGTCCGATTTACCTTTTATTGTGCACCAAACGTTTAATATTTGTCCAAATGGGATGGAATTTGGAACTTACGACCGAATTGAGTCTAAAAGCTAGTATGTCAAATTTGGTGAAGATTGGTTCAGATATAGCTATAGCTTCAATATATATTATTCATCCGATTTGTTATATTTGTTACCCACAACCGTAATATGCACTCCGTAACAACGATATTCAGGAAAATATATCAAATACAGCTCAGAAATATATTTGCCAAATTTTATCGAGATCGGTTCAGATTTGGATATAGCTTCCAAATTAATTGTGCACCAAATGGGCAATACAAGTCCGAATTTAAAAGATACAAATGCTTCGGCATATTTAGTCCTTTGAACTTTAAATTATAATTATAGTCATGGCGTGTATGATTGAATTCTCCCATAAAAACTTTTGTTATGTGGAGCTCCACTTAATTAGCAAAGTGGTGTAGGGTATCATAAAGTCGGCCCCGCCCGACTTTAAAACTTTCTTTACTGGTTTTTGTTTATTAATAACTATTTGTACAATTGTTAACAGTTTTTGATGTTCCGAAACTAAGAAACGCCGCCTCACCTAGTGCTAAGAATGGGATGTCGTTTTCCTTCAGTCACCAAAGTTTTGTTATTGTAATTTTCAGTTTACCTTAAATGCACGCCATCATGTTGTAGCTTCGAATACAATGAACATCCGAACGGCCGAATATATTTAAAAGTGCAAAAGGGAAGTCATTTTAGACAACAACGAAAATAAAACAAAACAAGCAACAAATCAGTTTAAACGTAGAGGCCAACTAGATATGTTGGCAGTCGGATGAACGATTCAAACTCAATCTGTGTGAAAAAAAAGCATAAAAAATGGAAACGACTTCACCAAAGGAAAAGTTAGTTGGCTGTTATAAGAGTTTTTTACATCCATTTATTTTATCGTATATGAATCTAAAAATATAAAAGCTATTTTGAATCTTTGGACTCCAGTGTATTATTGACTATTCAATGCATTTAATTGTAAATAACAAGTTTCCCATTATACCTAAATGCTTCGTGATGAACACCAATATTCCCATAGTTAAAATGTTATTGAAAATAGTCAATTGTGAATTATACATTTATATAAAACTACATAAAGTGCCGAATAAAATTTCGCAAAATAAACCCAAAGCATCGTATGTCCATTGGTAGTATTAGACGGAATGAAAAGTTAAAAGGAAATGTTGAGTATATTTTAGGTGATCATGGAAATGTCCAAAGACAATAAAGAGAATCAGGCGAAGTGATGTCACATAAACTCAATCTGGCTTAAAAATTCTACCATGCGATAAAATTGGAAGATTTAATGGAAAATTTCAATAGAAACAACTAAATATGGAATGTTGTATCAAAATGTCAATTTCTTTCTATCAATCTAAACTGAACATTCAGAAATTTATTTCGATCGAAATTTTTCCATATCGGTCTTAATGAAAATATCGAAGTAACTCAATTCTAAGATATTAACAAGTAAAAAAGCTTTGGAAACTAATTTGTCAATTGTCAAAAACAAAAGAATCCGTTAAAAATTCTATTAAAATTTTAAAAATACCGAATGTAGCTGTTATATTAGGTTTTATATGACGACGTGGACCTGCATAGGTAACTTTTGTCATGAGTCATTACAATATTCAAATGCGAAAAATCATTGAATAATGTAAAAAAATCATCAAAATACCGAATATCGGAAGGTGCCGTTCTATGGAGGCTATACGAAGACGTGGACCTGCACAGACAATTTTCTGTCTTAGGCTGTAGTATCCATTACGAACTTCAAATACCAAATTTGAAACAATTCCGGTGAATAATGTAGCTAAAATCATCAAAATATCGAATATCGGGAGGTACCGTTATATGGGGATTATACCAAAACTTGGACCTACATGGTCCGTTTTCAATACCAAAAGTCCAGCAGACATAATACATATTTGAGTAAAATTTTTTCAACCTACTTCATTTCGTTCGGAAGCTAGAGTGATTTCCACAGACACATTGAATTTGAAATAAGTACAGCCCAATTATGTCACCAACCCATAAACCGCATCAAACGGTGACTTTTTCTGGATGTATTGATGGATTAGTGGATTTTGCAATGCTTCTGTCTGATCTTCACTGCGAAATCGATCATTTTACTTAACTATTTTTCTACGTCCACTGTATACAGCTAGCTTTGTATAAATGCTTTATTAATCTACCTTCGCAGAACGATGGCGAAAATTACAATCTGACATCTACTTATTGGATCATTTTAGGCGGCTTTTTACTGCTCTCCGCCTACCTAAGCATGATAGCATTATTTATGTATTTATTTTGTGTGTTCTCTCGATTATATTCACAAAACAACAACAAAGACGAGGGAAAGCCCAACATGAGAAAAAAACCCAATGAATTCTCACGAGATGAGAATGAGACTACGTACATACATGCGAACATGTATATTTATCTCAAAACAAATATTATTCGAAAGAACTTTTTGATCTCAGTATAAACAGATCGGTCGGTTATAGAAGTCACGAAGTTTCACTTGGAAAGATTTTGCGGGTCGCACATAAATGAGTCAGCATCGTACAACATCAGCTGCTCGTTCGGTGAAAAAATTAGAATTGTATTGCCAGTAGTTGTAGTCTCTTAATGTAAAAGGGAATTAAACTCATTAAAATCGAGTAAAAACAAAAACAACACAAAAAAGGCAACACATTAAATAACAGGAAAACGGAACTGAAAACATGGCAACAGATAAACAAAGCAACCTGGCCGATGAATGCCTATATGAAAATGTTTACTATTCCAAAAAAATTTCCGATGCGGCAGAGTAAGTTGTAGTATATTAGGTACATATGTACGATATGTACATGTACATATACTATGTGGTTAGTTAAATATAAACTAAAAAAGTCTTACTAATCTATCTCAGTAGTTAGTATTTTCCAGAGAAATTCTAGAACTTAAATAACCTTCTGGTATAATTCCAGTTACCGAACTCCGGAACTACTGCAACAGACCCAAAAACAGGCCGACGAAATTGTCGAAATAATGTACAAAAATGTCACCAAGGTAATGGACCGCCAAGAAAAACTGGAGGATCTAAATGCCACCGCCGAAGCACTGGAGCAACAAGCCTCGACATTTCAAACAACAGCTGTTACATTGAAACGGGAAAAGTGGTGGGCCCACATGAAGACAAAAATTATTATTGCCATTATAATTGCTATTATTCTGGTTATATTGATCGGTAAGTGAAGGGGGGGCATCGACTAATTAATGTCTAGACAATGCCATGTTAGTTTCTTCGCCCACAGCCCTAGTTGTTGGTTGTTTGATTTTTTCTCTTCGATATCGTCGTGTTTTCAGTTCAGAAATATCTTTTAATATCTATATTTTCACGTTTAAGATATGAGAGGCTTGAGTATCGATTTTTTTTTTCGAAGAAAAAATATGAAAGCATTTTATTTTCCATATATATCCATTACTCTATGATGTGCGAAAATTTAGCCTTCGAAATTGGTCGGTCTAAAAGAGGCGTACTGTTTTTTTTTATGTGCAATTGGGGACATTTTAGTTGGTCGATATGATATATTCCACATATGCCAGTTTTCATAAAGGCCACCTGGAACATCGTGTTAGAGTACTATGCATGACCTCACATTTATCTTTATCATCTTATAGTATACTTTAAGGCGTTTTCTGTATTTTGTATATACCATCTGCCATATGGCCATTTGATACGGCCAAAACATACCTCTTCGAAATAACGATTTTAGATCCTAGATCTCTTTGGACCAAATCCGTTTCAGTACATTTGGAGTCGATCTAACGATGTCCGTGCGTCCTTCGGTAACTCTCGAAGGGACTATACGATTTTATCTAAACTTGGTACATCGTAATATTATTATCAAACGTAGATCGAGTTCGGAGATGGTGAATATCGCTCCATTCCTTCTACTACCTCCCCGCAAAATGTCAACATTTTCAAAGAAAATAATTTACTGCACAAAAAGAGAAGGATAATACGATTTTGCTCCAACTTTGCAAATTCTAATATTTGCATCAGTGCTAGGTCAGGTGAGAAAATGGGCAATATCGGCCCACTCCATCAAGTAATTTTGAATAATTATATATCGGTCTACTCCTTCTGGTACCATCCCCACAAAGGGTCAATACTTTGAATATTCATGAAGCTCATAAAACACGAAATTAATATCAGATTCCATTCAGACTTGGTACATCTTAATATTTTCATAAAAATAAGTTCTGTTAAAAAGATGGTAGAGAGCAGACCATTCCTTCTGGTACCTCTCCCACAAAGGATCGAAGTTTTTAATAACCAAAACGATCATAAGATCCAAAATAAGCATTCGGCTCTCTTCAAATTATACACATCACAATATTTTTATTAACCCAAGGTCTGGTGTGAAGATGGAATATATCGGTCCATTCCTTCTGGTACCTTCCCCACAAAGGAAAAAAATTTTGAATATTCGTGAAGCTCATATAACACGAAATTAACATCCGATTCCATTCAGACTTTTCACATCACGATATTTCCATCAACACAATATCTGTTTTAAAAATGGTACAAATCGGACCATTTCTTCTGGTACCTCCTCCACATAGGGTTCAAGATTTTGAAAAACAAAACGCTCTAAGAAAGCGAAATAAGCATTCAACTCTCTTTATATTTCATAAATCCTAATGTTTTTGCTAACGCAAGGACTGCCAACCGCTTCTGCTACCTCACCCACAAAGGGTCACAATTTCCAATACTTATATCTGTCTTAACTTGCGAAACAAGTCGGCGATTCTTTACAACTAGTTATATCTAAGTTTTTATGGTAACCAGAAATCTGATATGAATATGTGCTTATCGAAATTTATTATTTCGCATAAAATTGGATATAAAGGTTCGATTTCCTTTAAATTTTGCACATACCTATATTTTTATCTATATAAGATGAATTATGAAAATAGAACACTGTTACCTTTCGCATATTTTCACATTTTCCAAAAATCTCATATCTCATATAAAGTATAGGAAGTAGTCGATATAGCCCAAATATGGCACGTTGTAATATTTAAATCTGACTTAGGTCAGATACAAATTACATAGAGGGTCAACAGTTTGAACAAGCATAACTCAAAGCTGGGGGTATACATTTGTAGGCAAAACCGACTGATACTATTTTACTTGTATATTTATATTTATACATATTTATTGCTTATAATTAAATTGTAATAAACTATTAATTTTTCCTTTCTTTACAGCAACACTGGTATCTGCATTTGGTGGGTCTTAACGATACAACTGACAAGTATTAAAGTGCATACTTATAAGTGGCTCTAACACATCGTTAATGTAGTCGAATACATATTTATTTTAGCTGTAACACTAACTATTAAGAAATGTTATAAACTTGATTTTAATTAAAATCCACTTAAATGCAAATGTTTTGCAATAGGCATTCCTCGTGAGTATAGAACGAATAGACCTTAAAAGTAAAATTTTAATTGTTTATAGTCGATGAACAATAAATAAATACATGATTATACCTTTTAATTATTCAGAAGTGTGTGTTCTTTAATTTATTAAATCATACTAGGGAATAAAATACATCTTTAGGGTAATGTGGTGGTAAAAAAACTATCATACTCTGAATCTTCAATGAAAACTCTTCAGAAATGTTATTTTAAACATACTTTATTTTTCGTGTATAAAACACGAACTCATAAAATTGTGGATACAAAGAATGCATTGTGTAAATGTTAGTAAATATGTAAAATTTGTAATTTGTATAATATATATTCATTAATCGATGTAATTTGTTAGCTTAAGGACTAAGCAAAGAAGTCTTCCTAAAATAAGGGGAGATTCTTTTCGGTTGCAATAAATGGACGGAAAGGGTGGTAAACATTTTTCCAAATGTCTTCAGTTCAATTTTTAAAATAAAGAGTAGAATCGATTTTATATTAAGGCACTTAACACAAAAAAATTAAAATTGTGGCAAACGAAGACATTCGTAACTATCGAATGGAATGTAAACAAATTGTTTTTGGAAATTATTTAAAGAAAAACCCCTTGCTAATATCAGGCATAACTTATTTCATGTTCGTAGGCCCGATCTTGCCAATCCTCTCGATCGGGCAAGGCGTGATGACGTAGCCCGCAGAGACGTGGGCCAAAACGTAACATAATTATTATAACACTGACAATAAAAAGGGCTAAAGCTGCAACGGCTGGATACAAGATAATAAATGCCATTTTTGTTTGTTTTAGTCTTAAAAAAACAAGTTGATATGTTGTTGTTTTCTTCTTTGAGTTAGCTTCTTTCAAATTTATATATCGCTTTCACGTTTGGTTTGTAATTCAACGTACTCCTCACGATGCCTTTGCTGTTGGTGTAGACTTCGTCCTTCGGGGCGTGGGGGACGACTTTGGTGTTGTTGTTGCTGATACTGATGTATGGGTACTTCTTCACCTTGCGCCTCGATATCTTCGGGGAAAATGCGTTGTGCGGGCTACAAAAGAAAAATAAGATATGGAATTTTTTAAAAATATATCATGGCGGCAAGGAAATGATTTTTAAATGTTTAATTCGTCTTATATATAAATCTTAACATATTTTAATAAAATTGAAGTTTTTTTTTTTTGTAGACAATGTATGAAGAATATATTGGGATTGTTTCTGTAAAACGATACGTAAGTAATTCCGAAAGAAAAACACAACTAAAAATTAGATTTTCATTTTTTTTTTTTTTTTTGAATTGGCGTTTTTCTTTCGCATTTTGTAATTTTCTTCATCGAAATAGGTATTGTTCTACTCATATATAAACTCGGATTACAGTTTGTGTAGCGTGGTACATACAAATGGTAAACCATGACGTTTGTACTGTCAGCCGTGTGGCTACATAGGGTTAATATCATTCGATATGGTAATAATGTGCTTTACAAAAACAAGTAAAAAAGCTGTAAGTTCGGCCGGGCCGAACGAATTTAACAACTCGCAAAAACAATGAAATCCGTTAAAAATTATTCTTAAATTTTTAAAATCTTAAAAATACCGAATGTTGCTGTTACATTAGGGTCTATACGACGACATGTCATAAGCCATTACAATATTCAAATGCGAAACTTCAATTTTCTGTTCTAGGCTGAAGTATCCATTACGAACTTCAAAGACCAAATTTGAAACAACTCCGGTGAATAATGTCGCTAAAATAATCAAAATAACGAATATCAGGAGGTACCATTATACGGGGGCTATACCAAAGCGTGGACCTACATGACCCATTTTCAATATCAAAAGTCCTGCAGACATAATATACATTTGAGTAAAATTTTAGCAATCTACTTCAATTCGTTCGGAAGCTAGAGTGATTTCCACAGACAGATAGACGGACGGACATCGCTAAATCGACGTAGAATTATAAGCATAAGCTGATCAAGAATACATAATTTTTGGGGTCTAAAATGTATATTTCGAGGTGTTACAAACGGAATGACAAACTTAATATACCCTCCATACTATGGTGGAGGGTATAATAAAAAATCTTAAACACCATGTCACTTTCAACGAATCTGGCTCTGAGACATCTAGAGTCGATTTATACATATCCGTCAGTCTCTCTGTCTACATGTCGATTTGGTGCAATTTGATCATCGTAATATTTTTAAACGTAGATGAGGGTTATATCGATCGTTTACCCCTTCTCGTTTATCTCGCTAATTCCTAAAACTGTGTATCTTAACTGAAGCTAAAAGAGTATCCGATGTAGCTCAAACTTTGCAAATCGCAATATTTGAATTTGGTGCAGATATTTGTAGCATCAGTCCACTGCCCACAATAAAAATAAAAAAAAAAACTATAGACGAGACTTGTGTCGATATTACCCTGTTTGAAGTTCCTTCATCTACATCATCATATGCGTGGTTACCGATTTGGATCAGAGTTTACACATCGATGTGCATTTCGAAAAGATGAAGGGTCAAGATTTCCCTAATTTGATGCTAACATAGGACAATTTTGAATATGGATCACTCTTCCAATGCACTGTGTGCCTGAATCAAGGAACCATTAATATGCCATTCAAGCCATTAATATGCATAAAGGCAGGTGGTATTGTTATATCGGGCTATTTGCAAATATAGACCAATTCATGATCTACTTGTTTGAACAGGGAGATACCTCAAAAAAAAATTTTTTTAAAGTATTTGTTTTTCAGAAAACAAAAATCCCACTCAGACGAAATCCTCAATACTTCCTTTTAATTACAAACCACATGCACATGCTCTACTAACCTGCAGCTTTTGGAAATACGATGCGTCTTTCAATTCTGTCAAATCCAATGGTGGTTGATTATGTGGCGTTGCCGACCAAATTGATACGAGCCAACGATTGCCTGTATGTCTATCCTGCCAGTATTTACGATGCTTTGAACAGCAACCAAGTATGATATTGATCAAAATTATTGCACTAAAAACAACCGTACAGACAGCTATGGTCACATAAAACGGTGAGAAATTTCCATAAATGTGTCCAGTGAAATAGGGATTATTTTTATAGGCTGTACGTTCGTCGATTGTTGACATAGTATGTGGCGTAGTACACAATCACCCCAGTGGTGGCGATAGAAGCCAAAATGATAGGCAGAAGAAGTTGAAGCGATGAAGAAAACGAAAAATTTCTTGAGTACAACAACAAGAATGTTGTCCTATTGTTGTAATAAATTCATAAACAGCTCCAACGTAAATGCGAGTTTGTGTGTATGCATGTATTGGTACATTTGCGCTTGGATGGTGGCAATTCAAATCGGAATTGTTTGATCTGGGAATGTGTTCTTACACTGCAGCCTGGAACAAGAAGTAGAAATTAACGAATTAAACTCCAATTGGACAAAAAAAATTAGAAAATGAAAAACAAAACACCTTACTCGTGGCTTGGAATGTGACACATTGTTAATTGAAATACAATGAAAACATTGAGACACTCCCCAAGCTTGGCCAAATCGAATGTAAGTTTAGGGTGTGGCTTAATATTATTAATGAAAATATTTTCATTTTTTATATTAAATTTTATAATTATTTTTAAAATGTTGTACTTACTTGGTGGCTGGCAATCTTTTTTAATAATTTTTATATTATTTTCAAGTCTTCTCGTTGTAATTTCTAGGATATTTTGGGAAAACTTACACGAGCAAAAACAAATACATTCGAGTCGAGTATCAATAAATAGAAATTATGAATGAAGCCTAGTTTAATACACAGACTCAGAGTTGTATTTTTTATTAAAAACGTCACAAAACGATAACAACTAATTGTAGTGTTATCGATTTCATATGGGGAAATACTCTGTTCACATGCATGAGAATACTGCATAGTGGATTTAATTTGTAGGTGCATTAAGTAGAATTTAAGGCTATTGATCGTGGTAGAAAAATACAGGTACACGCAGCTGCTGGGACAATGAACTGTCAAACCGAGTTTGAAATTAAAAATGTTGAATGAAAAATGTTTGATATTTGTAAAAATTGTTGAAAAATGCATATCATAACAACATCCAATTTGAATCGTATAACAAAACGTGTAAAAATCTACTTATTTTTGACAAAACATTTTAACAATTTTGACATATCAATGTACCCATGGCAGAAAAATACAGGTAGATGCATCAACGCTTGGGAGCATTGATATGTCAAAAAATTTTAAATGTTTTTTCAAATATAAGTAAATTTTTATATGTTTTCTTATACTACGTCATTCGGAGGCTATTATAATTCGCGTTTTTCATCAATTTTTACAAATTTAAATAATTTTTCATTCAACATTTTCAATTCCCAAATTGGTTTGACAGTTCATTGTCCCAGCAGCTGTGTCGACGCGTCTACCTATATTCTTCTACCATGAATGTACCCAAGCGTTGATGCATCTACCTACATTCTTCTACCATGCTATTGATGCAAGAATCCGTGGTAAAAAAATGAAATAAAGACTCCACTTTCATACATTCTGTTTCAATTGTTTTGAAGCAATTTTGTCAGGGAATTGAAATATTAAACAGTTGAGATGACTTTTTTTGGATCCAAGCATGGTAGAAGAATACAGGAAGATGCATTAAAGCTTGGGAACATTGATATGCCAAAAATTGTAAACTGTTTTTTTTTTAAGCAGATTTATATATGTTTTCCTACACGACGCCAATCGGAGGTTGTTATGATATGCAATTTTACCAATTTTTACAAATTTGAATAATTTTTCATTCAAAATTATTTTGACAGTTCATTGTCCCAGCAGCATTTTATTTCATCTTAAACATACGAAAAAATATCAAATACATTTTTTTTTCAAAAAATTTGAATGACACTGATGCACAGTGGTCGCTGCCATTGGCCAAAATTCAAAAATTGAAAATCAGATATTCATTGTCAAATGTGTACTCCTGAACTCATAAGAGGTTAAGCTTTTTAGAAAACATAATTATCTTGACTTCATTCTAACGGCCCACTTCGAAAATAGCATCAAAAAAGAGAAAATGTAGGTATTTGCTTTTTTCAGTGGGATCAGTGAAAAATTGGAGTAAAAATAAAACTGTATTACAAAATTAAATACATTTTAAAACGACAAATCTTGGCATTATTATTGAAAAGCAAGGTATTGACTTATTTTTAGTGCAGTAATTTGTGTGTTTAGTAGTTGTGTATAATATAGAAGATGTGAGTGATCTGAGTTGCCTTTAAGATTAATTTTGAAAATAAAATTGGATTTCAGGTAAAGTTTTAATTGTTTTCCCCCCTGAATCCTCCAATGTGATTTTTTTCACGCCATTAGTAATGGCCCTAAGATTTTAAAAGTGCTAATTTAACTTTCAGATTTTGTCAGTTTTTTATGTTATGCCCAATATACTGAAGTGACTTCGCTGCAATTTTGTCAGTTCTATGGTGCTAGTGACATAGAATATGTTTTTGTTGTTTGGGATTGATAAGGATGTAACTGAGGGGTTTTCAATAATGTTGCAAGCATTGTCTTCTGATTAATGCCGAAAAGTTTAAGGCCTTTGCACTGGAAACTCCTAAGGAGTTAACTAATAGATATCCATGGCACTATCTTCCACCCACAGTTCATAAAACTTTAATACATGCACCCGACTTTAGAAATTTGTCATTGTATAGATTAGATAATTATAGAAAGAGGCCGTGGAGTCTAGAAACGAAGATATAAAAAAGTTTCGACTAAATCATACCTGAAAAAAGTCTCGTGTTTCAAAAAACACAGATCTTAGTAACCGTCTTCTTCTGAGCTCTGACCCTTTTATAACGGGACAGCGAACGTTACCAAACAATAACCAGTAAAGAAAGTCTTAAAGTTGGGCGGGGCCGACTTAATGTTACCCTACACCACTTTGCATATTTAGTAGAGCCCCTCATAACAAATAAAGTTTTTAATGGGGAATTTGTAAGAATTAAATCATACCAACTATGATTATAGTAATAATAAAAAGTACAAAGGAACTAATATATGGGAGGAATATCCTCCTCTGAATCGATTTCTACTAAATTTGTCGAGACATTTGCGCCTTTTCAATTCGGGCTTGTATTATCCATTTGGTGCAGAATTATCTTGAAATCGGATAGATATATATGAGAGCCATATCTAAATCTGAACCGAACTCGATAAAATTTGACAAAGGTATTTCTGAGCTGTATTTGATATATTGCCCCGAATATCGTTACTACGGAGTCCACATTACGGCTATGCAGAGCAAATTCAACAAATCGGATGAACAATATGTATGGGAGCTATAGCTATATCTGAATCGATTTCCACCAAATTTGACATACTGGTTTCCAGACTCAATTTGGCCGTAAGTACCAAATTCCATTCCAATTCCGTTTGGTGCACAATAAAAAGCAAATCGGACGAAGATATATATGGGAGCCATATCCAAATATTAACAGATCTCGATAAAATTTAGCAAGGGTATTTCTGAGTTATATTTGATATATTTCCCCAAATATCGTTGTTAGAGAGTTCTGGTCGTACGTATATTCCATACTATTTGGGCTGATACAAGTTTGGTGCACAATATAAGGCAAATTGGATGAAAATATATATGGGAGCTATACCTAAATTTTGACCGATTATCTACAATTTCAATCGGGCCTTGGGTCAAACAAATTATTTGTGCAAAATTTAACTTTGATTTAATTTTATATTGAATTGTTATTTTATTTTGTTTACAAAAATCAAATTTGGAATTTATTTATATAAAAAATACTTCTATTTTTAGAGGTACCTCTACAGGGGGACCCGCAGGTAAAGGCGGACCGTTCCAAATAATTTTCAGTAAGATTATTTTTTAACTCCTTAGAACGTAAAATATCAAATCACATTACAATCTGGTGTAGAAATGTGACAAGAATTGGGCAAATAACCCTTATTCGGGAGGTACGTTGTAAGGGGACCATGCCAAAACATGCATCGACCATATCCATTTTGTCACATTTTTTATTTTTATCCCATCAAGGTACCATAACCAAAGATTCATATTGATATGTGCACTGAAAGTATTTTTGGCCGCTGTTCCCATACGACCTCGACCACTTTGTGATGGAGAGCTGGCATATCCGCATAGCTGTATGTCGGCAATTTTGCGAAGCTGTTTTACCTCTTTAATGTACCAGGTAATTCGAAGGGATAAATTATAAAAAAATGCAGACATTCAGATGATTAACTGAATCTTCGTTCCAGAACCAGCAAGAATCTACTAGTTTTGCAATTTTTTTTCGATATCATAAAGGGAAGATCCGTTATTGTAGTAAAAACCTTTACATTTTTGCAGTTCTGGAACAAACCAAGTATTGCAATTTCAAATTTCGTGAAACCAATAGTGGCAACAGTGTTGTATTTTCACGTCTAAGTCACTTTTGAATCGTGTTTTTTGTTTTTTTTTTTTGGAAATTGGCCAAGTAGGTCCACGTATTCGTATAGACCCCATACAACTGTACCGCCAGGTTTAAGGCGTTTTGGTTGCCTTAGTTACAATTTTACTTTTAATTTGCTGTAAACTGACAGTTTGTGTTCCCAGCATGTAGGCAACATCTTTGCAAAGAACTGTATATTTAGGTCCAAGTTTTTGTGGCTCCCATATGACCTCCAGATTTTCGATATCTACATTTTCCAACAGAATTATCTCAAACTTGATATTTGGAGTCGTTTCTAGGCGCCGCCTTGTCTGGCAGATTATTGGTTTACGTTTTCTTATAGCCACCGTCCAAGAAAAGCCCCAGATATTTCGTATTTTAATGATTTGCGTAACACTTTTCACCGGAATTGCTTACAAATTGGTATTTAGAGTTCGTAATGGATACTTCCTTTATATAGCCCCTATATAATGGTACCTCCCAATATTCGGTATTTTGAAGATTTTTTTCCACAGAAAATGTATCGAATAATAATACAGTAGAGGGAAATTTATACCGCCTTAAATTATAAATTTTCCCGCCCGCCTTTATTCAGATAAATAACAGTCTTCATTATATTTTCTTCTTCAAAATAAGTTTAATCAATTTTTAATAAATTTATTTTGAGAATATTTGTTTTATTACTTTCTGTTTATAAATACAATATATATTTTTCAATTTTATGTTGTAATGGATTTTTTAAGATTGTGTTCATCTTATCTTTTACAATTTTGGGAGGAAGGGCTTCAATTGTTTTTGAATTTAAAAAAAATTAAATGTATTTTTCATTATAACAAAACAATAAATAAAATGAATCATACTTTTTTCTCTCTTTTATTAAATAATAATAATAAACTCAGCATCATTTTGTAAAAACAAATTGATTTCGTCTGAGTGGGGAGTTGATGGACTGTTTTCATGGGATTAAAAAATAAATGGAACACGCGGGAGCCTTAAAGAAAATAACTAATAACGGTAAAAAATAATAACTGAAATAAAAAACTTAGCTGAAACAACCGACTTCTACCAATTTTGTAGATTTGCCAGCATTTTGCAACGAGAATTTGTGCGAGAAACAAATGTGCTGGTTGCGCGTGGTGTGTGTGTGTGTGTGTGACAACACATAGCATTAATTGTGGATTTGGTGATGTACATGGATACGGCGTTTCTTGTTATTGTGTACTTTGGGGTAAGAAGGAAACAGGGGTCTCTGGTATTTTTTAAACTCTTGATATATGCTGCAAAAGATTGCAAGGCCAAAATGCTTCAATGCGTTCCTTGAGCAGTTGAAATGGATACGATATCCAGGTAAGTACAGTTTGCGCCAACAAGCCCATGGGTTCCGGATATTGATGTGTTAAGAGAGCCAATAATGCGGTGAATGAACACAGCCCCGCTGTGAAGAGTATGAAAAAGGGCAATTCCTTTTTGGGATAGACGGAAACTTCATGGAATGCCGGCAATAGTTCGCGATCAGCACACTCTGTACATGTTGGATATGGATAGAATAAATGGCCTCGTTCCAAAGGATACGGTAACATTCGGAATGTACCCTCCCAGGTGCAGTGAAGCAAGTTTAATGCACCCTCAATATTTTTCCAGTGCTTCAGGTGGAAGAAAGCATAGGCCAAGGCTTCAGAATCGCCACGCTTTAAGATATGCTCCGGGGGCAAAATGAGTGGCTTTGTCTCTAACAAATACTTCGGCACATGAGGATTAAATTCCACCGCTCTGTGTATGGCCTCCACAGCACACATTTCGGCCGGACTGAGGCCCCGTTTCGAGGCTATGTCGGGGGAGAATTTGTCAGCAACTGCTCTAGCCTTCAGCAATGCTGCTGTATAGCAAATTGTGGCCGACTTGGGCAAGGAAATGTCATCGTATTTGGCTAAAACTGCTTGGCAATCAGCATACGCCTGCATCTCCAGCAAAGTTTCAATGAGATTCTCATGAATGTTCAAAACATTCATAATAGATGGAATTTCTTTTGTTAAATCACGGAACATTTTTGCAGCTTCCTTTAGCTTGCCCAATTTGCGAGCACACATAGCCAATCTCCGCCGTATATAGATTAGGACATTTGTGTCTCGACGATGTATGCCCTCGGCCACGGAACCCTGATGTTGTGTTGCCTGTGATTTGCGATAATTTTGCTCGGCCACTTTTAGAGCAGTCCGCAGTATACGTTCGGCTTCAACAATAGTTGTTGCTTCTTCCTCAGCCAAAAGTATATAAGCAGGAGCACAATCGGGATTGATTTCGATGGCATTATGTGCGGATTTAATACGTTGAACTGGATTGCGTTCTCGCCACGCCGTTTGCATTATTTCATATTCTTCCTTGCGAGCATCGCCTTCACACGTAAAGAACGTTTGATGATCTTGCGCCGACAAATTCATATCATAGTAGGTAAGAGGTTCCTTGCTTGTGGCCCAAAAGAAACGTTGATATTCGGCTCCACGAAATAAATTCAAAGGATTACGCCATACTTTGCATTCGGGCATTTGTTGGCCACTACTGGATGTGGTGCCGTTTGCAGAACTTCCATTAATACCATTGCTCGACGTTCCACCATTGCCGGCACTGCCATTACCACTGTTGCCATTGCCATTTGAGTCTGAATTGGAATCGCTGCCATTTATCCAAGGACTAATGTGGTTTATGGACACTTGTTCTTTTTTATAAATAAAGAAAAACAAAAGGAAAAATAAATTGGTCATCACTTGTGATATAAGAAAGTGTTCTCCTTTTTTAATATAAAAATAAGTATGTATTTTGACAGAAAAGGATTTCCTCTATTATCCTTCACAGTCTACTCACCTATAAATGATGTACCATATTTACGAAAATACCACCATTCAAATATCAGTATGAGACCCGATATTAGGCTGGAAGTCCCCGTTAGTGCTACATAAAATTTTGGCGTCAAAGTGCTCAGGAACATCGACGAGGAGTCCCACATGACGCCGTTATTATTGGAGTCCTGTTGCTGGAATTCTTCAATATTTGCCAATTTCGTGTTTATTCAATGAAAACGTAATCGGGGTACAATTAATAAAAGATGTGAATTCCTCTGCAAAAGGTATCTCTATCCTCCGCACAGGATTCTGCTTGCTTGTTGTTAACAATCTGTTTCACGTATGTCGTCTTTCTCGTTTTGCTCCTGCTCTTTCTTCAGCACACAATTTTTTTCTCTATTCGTAAATTTTTTCTACCGTATTTATTTTTGCAATATTGCCCATTGTTTTCAATGTAGCAATACTCTAAAGTCGGTATATTTCTGTCGATGCGTTATATTCTATTACTGTTTGGCAATTTTATTGTATTTTTATTTATTTATTTTGCAAAAAACTCATCTGAAAATACAATCAAAGAACTGTGCCAAACTAGAGTAAATGGTAACGGCGTCATTACAATAAAACCGAGACAGAGTAGCAGAGATCTCTAAATCGATTTTTAACTTATCGATTGTTTTTATTCGATTGAAAATTAAATATGTACGTCGAACAAGGCAAAATAACGTATAAAACGAAAAACATCGTTGACGTTCATTTTAAAAATTGTGTTGCGAGAAAGATCAGTATACATCTGAGACAGCGCGCCTTTTTCCCGAGATCATGAAGTCCAATTACAGTTCAAATTCGATCATGCATCAATGAAAAATCCAGTGAGCCAGTGAGCAAAAGTTAAAAATTTAGAACTTGTAGACTGCAGAAGATCTGTCTGTCTTTGCCCCAATTTGTGGTTGTATTAGGTTAAAGGGGGTCCAGTTGCCTTAAGGCCACTGCTCCACTCATAGAATTGCAGGTCCAGTGTGTTCATTCTAAATCTGATAAAAAGAGAGTAGAAAAGAAAAAGAAACAGGTTTGAGAAAATATTTAAAGATTAAAAAAATATAATTGGAAATTTTCTTGTTATCTTTAGCCAAATCAATCTTTTGAATAACTGCCGGTTCCATGTTAGAGAATGAAGACAGATCATGAATAATTTACTCCCCCATAAGCATTTGTATTGTCTTGTCACGAAGCAGAGTTCAACAGTGAAAGAGTAAATGTTCGACCGTTTCAGTTTCCTCTTCATTTTCGCAGAGCCTGTAGTAATAGGAGTAGTCACTACTACACTTATGATCTGTGATGATTCTTACAAGTTTTCGACCAGGATGATGAACAACCTTGTTCTCTCCTCGAACAGTGTAGGCCAAAATTTCTTTCAGACATTACATGCCCTTTCGTCTAGCCAGGTTTGCTTAAATCTCGTGTAGAACTGGGAAGAAGTAGCACAAAGATGGCTTAACCAACCGAAAGAGCTGTTAGAAACTGCTAAGAAATTCAATAGACAGACGAAAGACTAGTGAAATGTGATGGCCCTTCCTCATAATAACGAAAGGTCGTGATTTTGGAAAGGAAGATATTCACAGCATAAAGGTATTGTCAGAATGGGTCATCCCATCTTTTATGGATCCTATACGTATACAAAAAAGCTCTGTCTTCCAAAAAAAAAAGAAAAAAAATAAAACATAAAAAAACTGTAAGTTCGGCCGGGCCGAACTTTGAATACCCTCCAACATTTGGTACGAATTTGGAAATTCTTAAAAACATTAAAATCCGTTAAAAATTCCGTTTAAATCTTAAAAATACCAAATGTAGGTGTTATATTAAATGCGAAAATGCGAAACTTCGGTGAATAATGTAGCTAAAATTATCAAAATATGGGGGCTATACGAAGATCTTGACCTGCAAAGACAATTTTCTGTCGTAGGCTGAAGTATCCATTATGAACTTCAAATACTAAATTTCAAACAATTGCGGTGAATAATGTCCTTAAAATCGTCAAAATATGGAATATCGGGAGGTACTGTTTTAGGGGGATATACCAAAACGTAGACGTATATGGCCCATTTTTAATACCAAGTCCTGCAGAGAAAACACGCATCTGATTAAAATTTTATCAACTTACTTCATTTTGTTCGGAAGCTAGAGCGATTTCCACAGACGAACGGACATCGCTAAATCGACATAGAATTTTAAGCTGATCAAGAGTTTATATATCTTGTGGGGTCTAAAATGTATATTTCGAGGTGTTGAGGGTATAAAAACAATCATTAGACGGATATTGATTTAAAAATTTCACGACTGCATTATCCCGGCTTATGAACTTCGAGCAACTTGATATCCGCATTTTCAACAAAGACTTCTGAATTTGCATATCCACCTCTAGATGGTTAAGGAAATTAAAACTGAAGGACGGGTGCCAGGGTGTTTTATAAAGACTTACTCTGAAAGAGTCAAAATTACATTCTTCACAGTCGTGACATAAAATAAAACAATCCGTGTAATATGTCTTGCTTTTTATTATTGTAGATCTTGATGTATTAAAAATAGAATACTATTTTATGTACATATGTTTATACAGATATGGGATTGCTTTTGTCTTTTAATGTTAACAAAAAACGATTGCACAAATATTTTTAAATGAAATAACTTAAATCTACGTGTAATGTTATGTCTTTCCAATAAAAGTACCAGACATGGCAATTGGAAAGCCCCATAAGTTTCGGTATCAAATACTAAAAAATATTTTTTTTCACAAGAGACTTTAAAAAACAAGTCCATAAACTTAACAAAAATCGGCAAAACAGGACTCATTTTAATTGATTAATATACAAAAAAAAATCATATACAATTGGGTTCACTGAAAAAGGAAGTGCTTATCTTTCCAGCTACTGATTTTACATTTGTTGCTAAAACTAAAAAAATTTCGGAGTTGCAAAATAACAATACAGCATTAAAAATACTATCATTTTTATGTTGTTATTTTAACTTATTACTAATACAGATAACATGATTGAAGCCACACGGCTTTACATAAGACTTAAAATGAATTAAGCACACAAAAAAATAATAAAAACTTAATATAAATTTTAAAAATAACTAAGTAAGGAATTAAGATAAACTAAACAGTAATGAACGATATTCAAAAAGAAGATCATGATGGTTTGGAAGATTATTTATTTTGCGGGATCTGTTTACTATGTTTGTGTAATCACAAATTTTATCCATAGCTTATTAAAGGGGGGTGAGGAGAAGTATAGAATATTTAAATGCAGTTTGAGCTGTTTATTGGAAAAATAGTGGAGGTTTTTATGTTGTTGCTGTTGTTGCATATGATAATCAACGTTATAGGGAATGATTATGCAAATTGGGATAGGTTTGACTGGTTTCCATGATATTTGCCTTAGCTTGGCAACTTGGCTGCTGTACATCAAATTCTACTGGCATCGAGAGAGTCGATAAGGGTAATGACATCACAGCCATTGGTGATGGCACTAGATTTTCACATTTCAGCATTAGTTTTATTCCGGATATACCTTGTCAGTCGGTTTTCAATGGCAACAATTTTGAACCGGCCAATTTCATTTCCATTGATGTCTTGCCCGATAGCGTGCCATTACGTTCCATGAGATTCCAAAGGGAACCCATAAATACACAAAACAAAATGACACCGAATACCAAAAGTTTGAGCAATAAATACAGAGTTTTATAGCCATGTGGTACGGGGAATTCGGCCATTAGAATCAAAGCGGTTAATAGTATAAAAGATATTGTGAAATACACAGCCCTATCGGTTTTCAGTTGATTCAAATGTCCTTCACAGAGATCGATTGATTCTTGAATAACAGCCACTTTAATTGAAGTTATATCCGTCGCCGCGGCACAATCTTCTTCGACATGGCCATTGGAATGAGATTTGCCATTCGGTATTGGTGTATTGGGTGGTGTCAATTGTACATCATGCATACTATCACTGCCATCTATGGCTGCGCTAACATGCCGTACAGAACATGAATCTTCATCATCTCCCTTAGGTCTTAAGAGTAAACGCACCTGCACAGCCTCATGATCAGAATAACTGTATTTTTGTCCAGGCACACGATGAGGTAAGGGTAATTTATATTCTAATATCTCGGTCTTAATGGAATCGGCACTTCGTACAAATATATGATCGATACGAAAGCCATTGAGATTTTTGCCCAACACCTTTTTCGGTGTATACGAGTTGTGTTTGCATTCATTCGTTGTCACCGAATCCGAGTTGCAGGTGTCTGTCATTTCCGATGTATGCAGGAGAACTCTGAAAAGTCAGAAATCATAAATATGAAAACATCTATGGGTTCAAAGGTAGATAGTCTTACTTGTAAGAAATATCTTTTGGTTTTGTATTCAAATCACCAGCTAATATTTGAACATCCGAATCCCAGCGTGTGGCTTCAATAAATTGAGCTGTATCGAACGCTTGTATGACTCGATGTGTCTTATAGTCGTCGTTATTCATATCGTATTCGGCATGTAACTGTGGAAAAGTAAAGGGCATTTTTATTGAATGGTGGCAATAAAACAAAATGTCAGAACTATGAGATCTTCTGTCCATGTATATCCTTTAACAATGATTTCTTATATCCTCCACCGTAATATGAAGGGTATATTAAGTTTGCCATTCCGTTTGTAACACCTCGAAATATACATTTTAGACCCCACAAAGTATATATATTCTTGATCAGCATAATATTCTATGTCGATTTAGCGATGTCCGTCCGTCTGTGGAAATCACTCTAGTTTCCGAACGAAATGAAGTAGGTTGAAAAAATTGTACTCAAATGTATATTATGCTTGCAGGACTTTTGGTATTGAAAATGTAGGTCCACGTTTTGATATAGCTCCCATATAATGGTACCTCCCTATTTTCGGTATTTTGGCTATTTAAGCGACATTATTTGCCGAATGTGTTTCAATTTTGGTATATAAAGTTCATAATGTATACTACAGCCTATGAAAGAAAATTGTCTGTGAAGGTCCACGTCATCGTATAGCTCCCATAAACCGGTACCTCCCGATATTCGATATTTTGATGATTTTATCGACATTATTCACCGGAATTGTTAAAAATTTGGTATTTGAAGTTCGTAATGGATACTACAGCCTATGACAGAAAATTGTCTGTGCAGGTCCGCGTCTTCGTATAGCCCCCATATAACGGTACCTCCGAATATTTACCGAATTTTTTTCAAGTTTCGCATTTGAATATTTTAATGGCTAATAACAAACTTTGCCTATGCAGGTCCACATCGTCGTATTGACCTTAATATAACGGCTACATTCGGTGCTTTTAAGATATTAACAGAATTTTTAACGGATTTTTTTTTTTGAAAATTGCCAAATTTGTTCCAAATGTTGGGGGAATGGGAGTTAGAAGCAGAGCCAGATTAGAAAAGAATCACAGCAGTATGAGGGGCTACACAAACAACAATTAATGAGAAGAGAGGTGGGATAAGTTTAGCTACCTGACATTTTCGCCCTATCTCCCCATTTTGGCTTTTGGTGAGGTGAACAAATGTATGTCAACTTTA